TTTTCCTAGAGAAAAACCCCGAAATCAATATTCAGCCAAAGTATAAAAGGTTCTCTAGTGTCCACAGACCAGAGAAACAACCGTTTTCAAACCCTTCCACAGCTGAAGGACCGAAAAGCACAGCAACAGAATCTGCACATGTTGAAGTAGAATTTTACCAGTCGTTTTAAGTAACTGGAATATCACAATGTGATTCATAGCACTCCTGGGAAAGGAATAACCACAAGGTTCACGTTACAAATTCTTCCATTTGCATAAAAATGCCCATTGTAGGGAGCAGTGGCCAGTAAGAGAGTGGTGGACCGACACATCCAGTTGGAATCCAGATGTCATTAGCTGGGTGATCCAACTCTTCAGCCTAGCTAGGCCTCAGTTTCCTCGCTAGCAAAGCGAGAGTGAGGCTGGCTATCAATCCCCCAGCCCACGCCCGTGTTTCCCAGGTGCCTCTGCTGGGACCCGAGACGGCCTTCTGCCTTCCGCACTCACAGAGGCAAGTGACTGGCTGGAGTGACGGGCACTCGGGCTCAGGGAGCCTCCAAACCACACAGGACAGAGAAATGGGAATTCCACTTCCAGCTGAGGGTGGGGATCGGGGAGAGAAGAGCCACGCCCGCCTCCACCATGTGCCCACGGCCCTGACACCTCGTGCAGGGACCAGCCACTCAGCCCCACCGCCCAGAGAGGGCAGGTCCCGCCTTACCTGAGGACCAGCGTCTGGCGCCTGAGTCCCAGGCACAGGGACCAGACACAGAGTTCTGTCACTTAACTAGACCTAGTTAACAACTGGTGCTTTTTTGCCTTTAAAACAATAAATAGTAACAGCTTAGTGGAAGTTAGATTGGTGTTTCTTTTACAATCATCATACAAAGATCTCCTTTTGTGATGCACTTACGGAAATGCAAAAAGTAACTGAAGATTTGAGAAACACCGCTCCTGATACCAGCATCAAAAGTTGTGTTCTTTGGTGTAGGTGACACCCTCTTCAGCTCTGCTCCTGGCTGTGCAATACTCCTGCTGGGGCAGTTCCACAGTCCCATTTCCTGTACCTTTTCTAAGTCTACTTTTCATTACTGTAGTACTATAGTTAAAGCTTCCAAAAATATGTCAGCATCTCAGGTAAGAGTAAAATCTCTGAATAAAACATGTCAACATTAAACAGAGCAAGTATTAAAGCTAACTGTATAGTTTCTTGTCACTGCCTACCCCATATTTATTTGGAAAATTTTCCAAGCTCCAGAAGTTATGAAACTACAAAGTAGTGGAGAAGTTGGAACACTCAGACAATTGTAGTTGGACAGTGAAATGGTGCAAAAGTTCTTCAAAGAAAGTTAAAGTTACCCAGCAAAGCCCCTCCTACGTATGTATCCTAAAGGAATGAAAATGCATATTGACATATTCACACAAAAATCTGTACTGGTGTGTTAATAATAGCCAAAAGGTGGAAGTAACAAGTGTCCATCGACAGATGAATGGATAAATAAAACATGGACTATCTGTGCAGGGGAATATTACTTAGCCAGAAAAAGAAATGAGAAACTGACACATGCTACATCATATATGAACACTGAAAACATGCCAAGTGAAAGAAGCTAGTCACAAAAGGCTACACATGGTATGATTCCATTTATAGTGGTACCTTGGTTCACGAATTTAGTTTGTTCTACGATTTTGGGAAAGACGGCCACAGTTGTGTCTGTCACCTGATACAGAGTGTGCAAACAAAAGCAAAATCTTGCCAGATGCTTCTGTTTGCGAGCCACATCATTTGCAAACGAAAGCGTGAACTGAAGTACCACTGTATACAAAATGCGTAGAACAGGCAAATCCAGAGACAGACTGCCAAACAGTGGGGACGGATCACAACTCTATACACACACTAAAAGTCACGGAATTATATGCGTTGTAAGGGCTTTATGGTATTTAAATTATATCTCTATAAAGCCGTCATTTTATTTATCTTTTTGGTTTTTTGAGATAGGGTCTGGATATGCAGTCCAGCTTAACCTTGAACTCATTATGTAGCCTAGGCTGGCCTTGAGCTCCCCAGTAATCCTCCTGTCTCAGCCTCCCACATGCTGAGATTCACAGGCTGGGATGACAGGTCTGCACCGTTCAGCCAGGCAACGCTGTTATTTTAAAAACTATAAAATAGACCCACACTGCTCTCAACTAGATTCATCAAGTGGTAAAGCTGTGCCACATTTGCCATGTCTCTTCTCCAATACACACAGAGGGGAACATATGCAAATTGATGGCTAGACCCTCTGAGATTTAGTTACTTTAACACTTTGCTTACAATCCAGCATCGCGTGAAGTATTCTCCCACACAATCAAAACAAACATACTCTACAAATTTAACACCAACACAAAACCGTTTAACCTATGGTTCAAGCTGAAATTTAACTGTCATCAATCCTTGTGTGTTGTATTTGGTTTTCATGTCCCTTTAGTGTCTTTTAATCTTGAAAAACTCCAACCAAACTGCATGTGAAACACTTCAGAGAATCAACTGAGATCTCATCCTACTGAAAAGTTTCTGCACATCTAAAGAAATCGCCAGCAGAGTAAAAAGAAAAAACCCACAAACTTGGAAAAAATTTTAGCTGACTGTCCCTCAGACAAAGGCTTCTATCTAGCACATATAAGAATTAAAAAATATCAGCCCCCCAAATTCAAAGACCCAACCCAAAAATGGGCAGCTGAGATGAATACACTTCTCAGATAATGAAATACAAATGGCAAATAAATACATGAAAAACGTTCAACAACATTAGTCATTCGAGAAATGCAAATTAAAACAACACTGAGATTCCACCTTACCCCAGTAAGAATGGCTAGCATTAAGAAATCAACAAATAACAAATGCTGGCGAGGCTGTGGAGAAATAGGAACCCTTCTCCACTGCTGGTGGGAATGCAGACTGGTGAAACCACT